AAAAACCACACCTTTGATTACTACATCTTCATTGCAAACTCGGATAAGGTTAAATCCAGGGCCGTACAGGCGCAGCACTTCGCAGACGACTTTGTCCAGGTACTCGATGTGGTGTACCAGGTCATACGGCGAAGAATCTTTGTTTTCGTCTGTGGCTTTGTCGAGTTCTTGTTGAAACGTTTCTTGGATGTCAGGATGTTTTGCCAGCAAATACGCAGCGCTTGTCAATGTTGTTGAAGTGGTTTCGAATCCTGCGATAAGAAACACGAAGCATTGTGCTGCAATTTCGTCATCACTGAGTTTTGGTTTGCCATCCACTTCATTGTCGTGTGCTTCCAGCATCAGTTGAAGAACATCACGTCTGGCGTGGGCGGGTCCAGCTTGATCTTTTCTTTTGACAATCATCGTGTGGGCAATGTCCAAAAAATAATCGGCATTCGAAAAGATTTGAATGTTGAAAATGTCGCAAAGCTGGTCGGAGAATGGGAACGCCGAAAATGCTCTTTTCCATAAAGGAACTCTGATATTTTTTCGGGTCATGGACAGAAATTCGTCGTTTGGTTGGTTTTGTACATCAATATCGTATCCAAAGGCTGCTTTCATGATGACATCAAGAGCAAAGAGAGCGAATAGTCTGGTGATATTCACATCTTCTCCTATAAAGTAAGTATAGACGAAAGATAAGAATGAGTCAATTATATTTTTCTACCAGTTCTGATTCCTATCCATGTAGTAATGATTCCCTCATACCATATTCCTCCCGTTCCATGTATATGCAACATGTCACGCACTCTTATAMGTTCAGCTAGAAATGACCGATACGTGTGTTAGCTCACATAGTGTTAGACACTGGAGATTTACATGTGGCTCATTATTAAAAGTTTCCAAGATAGTTCTGGGTTTTTATTCCTCATTATATAAAGTTCCTTAAGTATAAAAGCAGCAATTAGCACTTAGTTCTGGTTACTATTTCAAACACTTCAAAACATTGTACATATTTCTTTTAAGTAAGTTTATTAAAGTAAACAACGAATGGATCTCTAACCTTTGGGCTACATARACGGGAAATTACAATGAACTTGGAACGTTTTGCCCATGTTCATCATCTTTAGAATACAATACCTACCAGTTTCAGAATAGACTTGCATTTTCTTCTGCAACACCTCCAAACAATCCACCACAATAGGGTTAATTTCCCTGAGTTTTGCAGCTGTGAAAGTGGGTGTAACAATTGTACGAATTCGTTTCCATGTTCCATCAAGGGCTGTAAAAAGGACAAAGCTTAATGGTGGATTCATTTTAAGGAAACGYGGACGATTATGAAATTTATGGAACTCTTTCACTAATATTTCTTTGATCATTTCAGGGTCAGTGACAACTAAACCAGGTCTTCGTCCAACGTAGAACTTGTGGAC